TACAACTCCACAAGCTCCTTGGCTTCATTGCATCCCTCCTTGGATCGAGTATGGATCCTCTACTTCTAGTAGTACGGTCCTATACTAACTTCCACATCTATCCATACTTTCCTCAAGAAGTGACTTAACTCAGCCAAGTTACTTTATAACCAACAATTCCCTCACATATAAGGCTCCTAGCACTAAATCTCATCCTAGGTTTTCCTAGGGCAAACTCCACACCACCCTCTGCCATCAGCTGCAAAAGTAACTCTCATTAACTTCCTCTAACTAGCCCACGAATACAATCACATATTACAAAAACTAGATAATTCTTCGAATGATAGGTCTCACACTACAACGGTTGGACTCAAACAAGAGCTGCGCAATAGAGTTAAAACCTAACCCTCTAAAATTATTTAGTTCCCATAATATGTAACTTAGCATATTCGTTTTCCAGTTAGTTGAATCTAGCTAGAGCTCCTAAAAGCACAAAACAAGCAACATTCGAGCATCGAGTAATCCAAACCAAGCATAACCTAATCAGGCCATCCTATTACTGACTGATCATTACTAGCATGGAAGTCTATAAGCTCATACAGCAAGCATACAAAGGCATCTCTCCTAGATCCTTAGCCCTAATCTAGCATGTGATTCTTAATTCATAGTTCAAACATATTATAAACATGTATGGGTATTTTGGGATAACTTACTTGAGCCCAGCTGATCGCATGCACCATACCCTTTCTTATTTTAGAAAACATTTTCTTAAATATGTTTATCTTTTGAAAACTTACCAAATCCTCGGTTTAAGTTCATACATACCCGAGAGTGTGCCCGTATCCCTCAAACCAAGGCTCTGATACCAACTTAAAACATCCAAAAATTATGACCAAAAAATTTCATTTTTGATTAAAGTAAAAACAGTATTCCACAACATTGTTCATACATCCAAAATAAATAAATATGTCAACATCATGAAAATCATAGTATGTCCCATAAACAGAATCCATATGGTGTGTGCGATGCAGTCAACCCGAGCTCTTCCCCTTGGAACCAGAAGTACCTAAAACATAAACTAAAAGCCGTACGCACAAAGCTTAGTGAGTTCCCAAATATATCGCATACCAAACATATCACATAACAGACCCCACCCAAAGAGATACGGGCCCTGCCCACACTCGCATAATGGGCCCCGCCCAATGAAATACGGTCCCACCCACACTCGCATAAAGGGCCCCGCACAATGAGATATGGGCTCTGCCCACACTCATAATATGGGACCCGCCAAATAAACATACATATACAAGCACATACATGTATTACACAGACAACAAGTACATCAACATAATCAATCAAGGGTCGGTCTTGGTGCCTTAGAACTGCTAAACCCAGTAAGGAAACTCACCTCGAAAAGCTGAATGAAACGAATGATCCCTGGCTGCTGGTCCTACAGCTCCCCAAGCTATCAATTACCGCATAAAAACTAATTAACATTTGGGATCTACATTATAACAAAAAACCTCTATTTAGGGTAAAAAGAACATTTTAACCCTACCCTAGCTTGGCCTAAGAATGGAGCTCATAACCACAATCCAGTGGGTGCAAAGTTAAACAATCCAACAAGGCCTAAAATATGGACCAATTTCTAAATGAGCCCAACTCCTTCACATGGGCCTTAGCCCAAGTCCCAATAACATACTTGGCCCAAAAACTATCAAAATCGGATGACCCAACTAACCCTAACCTTCCAAGCCCAAACCAAGGCCCATACTAAAATTCTATTATTTAAATGTCATCAGATTGAGTATACTGGGCGTACTCAGCTGGTATACTAAGCATACTGCATCGAGGGCTTGTATGCCCAGTATACAAGCTTGTACGCCCAACGTACTCAACCAATTCAGCCAACTTCAAGATTAAGCTCCTAACCTTTTAAGATTTTTTTCCAAAATGCAGATTGACCCTTTAGGATGAAATACCACGTAAAGTTGCTAACTTTACATCCATGCATGACCATAAGAAGCTCTAAAGCTCAAAATAGACCTAATGAAGGACTTGATGGATGCATGAAGCCCCCGAAACTCTATAAAGTTGGCACCTTTATGACAAAGAAGTCCATGAAGACCCTGGATCTGAAAGAACAAGCCTTTGGGTCTTCCTAATCCCAACATCCAACCAAACCATGGCTAAAGACATAACTATTTAACCAAAAAGGAGATCTAAACATCCAGCAACCAAGATAAGAACTTGATACCTCAATCTTCTTGCAAAATGGGTAGACCTCCTCTTCAGGTTAAGCAACTTCTAGCTTCTTCAACTACTTTAAAATGCACAAAAATCTCTCCAAAAGCTTACACACTCAACAATGAAAGATAGGACTCGATTTTAAGATTTCTGGACATAAGAGGCTGATAAGGAGGCTAACACTTGGGACTTAATGACATTATATAGGCTTGCACCCTAAAATTAGGGTGTTTGGGGTCTGGCCACGTATTTTGCACGTACATGCATTCCTCTGTGTGTAACACCCCGATTCTCAGGTATTTCTTAAATAAGATTTGTTAGGTTAAGCTCTACTCGACGAGTTGGTTGACCTACTCGTTGAGTAGCAGCGGGATAGGATCGCATGTTAAGTGAGCTACTCGACGAGTCCATGTTGGGACTCGGTGAGTAGGAGCTGGCAGTGGAAACCCTAAATCCCAGGGTTTGCACCTCTATTTAAAGGAGCCTTAGCCTCCTTTGGTCTCTTTACAGTCTTGAGAGCCCCCTTAAAACCCTAATTCATGTGTGTGCGCCTTGGTGTGGTGTTGAAGCTTGGAAAAGAGGATCGTGGAGAAAGAAAGCTAGGAGTGCAAAGGAATTGAAGCAAGGAAGGAATGGGAGGCTGTATTTACCTCAGCTAGCATCCTTTGGAGGTATCAAAGTGCCATTTCTACTTCCCTTTTTCCCTTTTGTTGAGTTCTAGGGCTTTTTATGGATTTTCAAGTTGGTATGATGAGCTATGGGCTAGATCTGAAGTTGTAACTTCAGATCTGGACCCTCCTTGGATTCTAGAAGCATAAAGTCACAGTCTTGGTGGTGATTAAGGTCCCTCTTGAGCATGAAGTTCCATTAAGACCTTAGAATAGACATTTGGAGCCTTTAAGGACATGTATGCACGTAAAGTTTGCAACTTTACGTGATAAGCATGCCCTAGAAGGTTGGATCTGTGAATTGGAGCCGCTGCATGGCTCAAAGCAAGTCTATATGGAAAGAGGACTGAATGGACTCGGTGAGTCACAAATTTGACTCGGAGAATCACATGAAGATGGTCGTGAACTCAACGAGTTGTATGAACAACTCGACGAGTCCGATGAATATTGCCATAAGACTCGACGAGTTGAAGAACAACTCGGCGAGTCAGATGAGTTTTAACCAGGACACATTTGCATGTATATCCGTCGAGTTACAAGGAGGGAACTCGACGGGTTGCCTTAAGTTTTGATCGAGATTCGAAGGAACTTGACGAGTCACCTCGATGACTCGGCAAGTTGGATGTGCTGCAGAGAACTCGGTGAGTACCCAAGGGTACTCGGCGAGTTAAGGTCAACATGGACTGTTGACCTTGACTGGGGACTTTGACTATGACCAGGAGTTGACTAATGGGTTATGGAGCACCTTATAAGGTTAAGGACTTATGAGTATGTTGTGCTATGACGATAGGTGGTGGGGCCTGTGTCGAGTGAATCGAGAGTTGGAGTTTGCCTTTCGATTCGACATCTGCAAGGTGAGTTATCCTCACTATATCGATAGGGTCTACGGCACCAAGGCCGGCCCTTTAGTTGTTATTGTTATGGTATGCTATATGTGATTATGATCTGTCAGATCATAATAAGGGTAGACCGTATGTTATGCTCTTATGATCCATAAGGATTGGTATGTTAGTGACCTGCTAGGTCGGTACTCTAGTTACAGGAGAATTCTATGATTTATTTAGTGTGACAGTTATGTTTGATGTTTATATATGCCTGTATATGATAGTATGCACACATGGATATTTGCTTGTGGTTGAGGTTAGGCTTGCCTGCTTTGTGCTGAAGTCCAATATACCCTATGAGCGGTCCGGGGAGACTGTAGGCCAACGTGGTGGACCAGTCATACCGAAGGCTCGGGATAGATTCAGAAAGACTGTAGGCCCGGTAGGGCGGTCCAGTCAGGCCGATGGCCCAGTATGCATGTTGATTGATTTATTATTACTGATATGGTATTGTCAGTGTGGTCTTGGTATTTTGGGGGTAGCTCACTAAGCCCTTGGGCTTACAGTTTTCAGTTTATTGTTTCAGGTACTTCAAGCGATCGTGGAAAGGTGAAGGCATGACCGTACTGCTCCTCATCCTTATGTTATGATTTTGGGACACTCTGATGGATTTGGATTTGAAAACATTTTGTAAACAAACATTGTTTGATTTCATTTACGATTGAAAAAGTTTAAATTTGGCGTAAAATTTACGATTGTTACACTGTGATCCATTTGATTCATCTACGCCCAGCATACGGCCTCAACGAAGCCCACTCATGAAGGCCCAATCCTCAAATCCCAACAATAACTTACATGATTAAAATAATTAAATAAATTATTAAAAAGAATAATACCTTGGAACCATCGGGCGTTACACACATGCATTTGAAATCTCCATAACTTTTCAATTTCTTTCTAATATATTATAAATTGGTTAATAATGTTAAATTAATGAAAAAACTAAATTTTAATCATAAATTAACTAAACTACAATATTAAAATATCATATTTTACTTCTATTTATAAAATTATGACTTTAGCTTTCTATCATATTATAGTTAACTGGTTAGTTTAGATATGTTGTCGTATACGAGAAATTGTTATTTTAAAGTCACAAATTCTTTTATATATATATATATATATATATATATATATATATATATATATATATATATATATATATATATATTAAAGAATGCCACTTTTTAGGAATAGTAAAGTTATATGTAATTTGGCAAGAATGGTCCTTGTGTTTTCTTTGTTTCATATTTATTTTCCAGATCCTTCCACAACCTTTTTCGGGTTACATTTCCCGATCCTTCCATCCCTCTCTTCATCCTGGATATTCTTGATTTTGTTTGCTTTGTTGTTTGTTTTGTCTCAAACGAGAACGTCTCTTTCCTCCTTCCACAGAGCGTCGAACCCGTTCCTTCCGCCGCCCACCACCTCTCCGGATGCAGCCTCAAGTAGAGCTTCCGATACTATTTATTTGATCGTCTCCACTGCTCTCTTCCCTGAACGCTTTCAAATAAAAACAAGAAGAAATGGAAGGTGAATTCATGCTTGGCTTCGATTTTGAAGGTATGTACCCAAGTGAGCCCTAATTTTTTATCCAATCATGTCATCAGCCATATTTGAGTGAAACTGGGGTAAAGCTTTATAGGTCCACTCCATTGACTTCAGTAAAGAGCCGCTTGAACTCAAAACGGATTCGAAAATGGGGGCGATTAAAGGCGGTGAAATGGTTTACATGATATACAGAGCTGTCACATATGGTCTGTCACCGCTGATAAATCTTGATCTCCGGTGGCGCAAGTTCTGAGGGCTCGAGCATCCTATCCGGTGGCCGGAACGCCTCGGTCGACTGTCTCTCCCTCAGCCTCCTGGATCCCTCACTTAAGTGGTTCTTTCATAGGGTAACATTTCAATCCTAATATTTGTATCTAAGGTTACACACGAAGTGTTTGTGATATTGCTTCATTAAATAGAGAAATAGTTGAATACCCCCAAACTTTCTTTGATCGGTGGTCTGGACATTGGCCAATGACCCCCCGTTGAGGGATGCCCTACTATGTTTCAAACCATATGTAACTTACCACCTGGTTACCATCAGGTTAGTTCTTCAATACTTCAAACATTTAGGGTTCTTAGTTTTCAAGATTAATAACTGAATCTTCATAATCATATTTTACCTCATTTTGCAGTATAAATTCATTGTTGATGGTGAATGGAGGCATGATGAGCACCAACCTTTTGTAACTGGTAATTATGGTGTTGTGAATACCATACTCTTAGCTAGGGAGCTAAACTTCACTCCTTTAGTCTTGACCCTACATACCACTTCTGGTTCAAGCATGGATGTGGACAATGAGGTCTATTAACTATAAAATCTTTCCTCACATAATTAGTTCCACTTATTTTCTATATGAATCTAGGGTGACATTAAATTATGATTTGTTATCCTAAAACAAGGAACTATGGAGCAGGATGTAACCCCAGATAAGAACTCACAGACTGGTTGTGGTGGAAGACAGTCGGATCAAGCAGAAAAAGCCTGACCATCAACTGACGGTTGATGCTAAGGTCTGTACTCTTCAGATAATGCAAATTTTAACTTGGAAAAAATAAGTTTATTTGATTAAAGAAGCCAAATATTTCCATTTATTCAATAATTTGACTGAGTAAGCAGAAAAAAAAAAGTATTAATTTATTATGTAAACGAAGAAAGTATTTATTTATTTATTTTAATCGTGACTATTTGGCTCAGTTATATACCAAAGACATTACCCCTGATGATAAACAAAAACTGGATGAATCTTGACATAGAGAAGTAAGTATCACTAATCCAAATCCAAATCCAACATCTTGATTATCTTTATAAGATCTTTATGATGATTAATTGGTGTTATATTGTTATGTGATTTGCAGATTGAAGCTGCTTTTCATACAGATGAAATTAGAAGGACTCCACCAACTCCACAAGATGAAATGAGAGTTGGAATGAGTTACTTCCATGAAACAATACAGAAAGGTGTCCCTAAATTCCTAAGACGTGTTGACACTGCTCTTAAGAACATTGGAATCAATGAGCGAGATCCCTATAATGCCCCTCTGATTGAATTATCTTCATGGATGGGTGGTGATCGTCACGGAAATCCCAGGGTTACCCCTGAAGTAACCAGAGATGTTTGCTTGCTTGCAAGAATGATGGCTACAAATATGTACTTTTTCCAGATTGAAGATCTAATGTTCAAGGTATATCATATGTGATTATGTAAATTCCTTTTCTACCCTTTACAACATAATCTTAATTCTTCTTAATCACATTGTTCTTTTTAGATGTCTATATGGCGTTGTAATGATGAACTTCGTGTTCGAGCAGAAGAACTATATAAATCAGCAAGGAGAGATGCGAAGCATTACATAGGTACTATTTACTAATACTATCAAATAGCATTAACAAAGTGAAATTACAAGAATACCCTTTGAAAGTTGCTTATGTAAATTTTGGGTGTTTTGTTTGGTCAGAGTTCTGCAAACAGGTTCCTCCAACTGAACCTTATCGAGTGATTCTTGATGATGTAAGAGACATATTATATAAAACACGTGAAAGATGTCGGCATCTTTTAGCCCATGGCAAATCTGAGATCCCAGAAGAAGCAGTTTACAACAATGTTGAACATGTAACTTTTAATATTTAATCACTTATATTAAATCTTTGATCTTTGATAACATTTTCAGTTAATCAACAAATTAACCAAAAGAGAAAAGTATAAGACCATATTTCAATATTTAACACAAAATTGACCAACATTTTTGCGAAAAAAGTTCATAACTTTACTATATTATTTTGCTTTTTTTATTAGTTTTCTTTTTAAAAAACTAATGTCATTTTCACAAGAAAAGAAATCTGAATTATTTTTATACATGGAGAATTATATATATATATATATATATATATATATATATATATATATATATATATATATATATATATAACAAATGGTTTTTTCGTTTATATTGGTTATTCATATACTATATACCCTCATTGGGAAAGAGCCATTTACAAGCCAAAGTAATAACAAATGTTTTTTAGTTCCCAATGTACTCATTAGTTTTATTATTTCTAAGTTCACCAATATTTTTTAAGTTCCCAGGTAAATTAATTTTATTATTTTTTTTTAAGTTCTCCATGTAACCATTACTACTCCATCAGTTTTATTATTTATTTATTTTTTTTTTAAATTTCATAATTCTTTTATTTTGCAAATTTTCTATACCCATAATAACAACGTACTTATTGTTTTCTTTCGAAAACAACAATTTTTAACTTAAGGAACTGGTCAATGGCTGTCGTTTAAATTTTTTTCAACTTTCTGGTTATGTGGCAATATTCGAAGATGCGGCAATCGTTTGCCACATCATCATTGGTTGAATGCCAACTAAGCAGAAGGTTGAAAAAAAATGACGGGAACCAGTGACCGGTTCTTGAAGTTAAAAATTGTTGTTTTCGAAAAAAAACAATAAGTACATTGTTATTTCCCTTCATTTGCTCAAATCTTTAACAACTTTTTTTTACAGTTCTTGCAACCCCTCCCGATCCCTATGCACATGTGGCGACCGCGTAATCGCAGACGGGAGGCTCCTCGACTTCCTCCACCAGGTGTCAACATTCGGTCTCTCCTTAGTCAAACTCGATATCCGCCAAGAATCTGCTCGCCATACAGATGTCCTCGACGCGATCACCCAACATCTAGAAATTGCGTTGCAACTATTATTAACAAAAGTTTGATATCAACAACGACCGTCTTCGTCTAAATTGTATTCAAATTGCCATTCTGGTCCTTGATTTTCCGTCTTCTCCATTATCTTCGTTGAGGTTCTGCTCTGAGGTTGGTAATTTTGTGCTTTCTTTCTACACTTTTCTTTCCATTTCAGAAAAAACCGATTGTTGTTGGTTTTTTGGAGATAGATAATTCTACAAGGAAGCGATAGCTGAATCTTCCCCATTGATAAGATTATGATAACCCTACGACCCAACTGATGATCACAGACAAGGTTGATAAATGGAAAAATAAATGTACAAATGTTGTTCACAAGTGTTATATTAGAGATTATGAATTTGTTTCCATGTTTGATGTTGACTTTCAACCCACACCTGATTTCACTTTCTTTCACCATGCTGCACCCAATGGTCTTCTCATAGGTTGAAACTAATGGTTGTATGTGTATGTAATCTGATATCTTATTAGTAGCTGTGTGATATGATATGAATTTATGTCTATATGTGTGTCATCTAATATGTACATTTATGTGTAATATGGTCTTTATATGGTCTTTGTACTTAATTTACTTTGTTGGGACAGATTACTCGACAGTTTGGCAAATTCATTTTGGTTGATATTGTCCTGGGAAAGGATATTCAAAGATGAATGTATGACATCTAATCCGAGTTTCTGGACCATTTAGCCACCGCAACCTCAATCACCCTCATATTTATAGAGTGTGGAAGTGTAAGTGTTCTTTTTATTATATGATTTTACATAAAGTTGTAGCTTATGTATTTACCATGAGTGTTGATTGAAATTGTGTTAATATATTCATTGATTTGAAGTAAAAAACTTTTTTTTGTCAAATCAAGTGCAATTTTGTTGCAATAATTTTTTGTTTTATGTATTAATAGTTGTGGGTATTTAAATGTTGGTTATAAAGGATATGCTATAATAAAAAAATATGGTCATTGTGTTGAAAATGAGAAGTGACCTTACATTCACATGCTTGTAAATATGATTTCTATCAAATATTTAATGATTTTTATTTATGAAATATGGATTTATAATGATTATATATTAATTTAAATGATTTTTATCATACATTACTTTTTATATAGGCATGAGCAGGTTGGTTTTTAGTGTTTAGTCTTTTCTAGCCTCTATAATCTCTTTCAATTTAGCAATGTACATTTTTTTTAATTCTTTTTTTATAGCATCTACATCACTTTGATATTTTTTCTTATTAACACATTGTCCTGTGAAAATTCTATCCAATTATTGGATTTTATTTTCTTATTATAACATTTACACGTTTGTAAATGGACAAATCTCCTACAATGGCAACGTACTTTATTGTCGCTAATAAGTTAGGCAATGTACTTTACTTTCACGCAAAAGCAACACCTTCCGCCCCCCACAATGCGGGGGGAAACTTTCTAGTTTTTTATAATCTATGATTTTATGAAAAATGGTTAAACTATTAATTTCAATATAATGTTAAACGGTTAACTTAAATCGAAATTTCAATTAAACTTGAAAAAAAATCGAGATGCTATTTTATAAATAGTTAAAAATTATAAGTTATAATGTTAAACCTAAATTATAATCCTAAATTGAAATAAAAAAAATCCGTGAAACTATTTTTTATAATCATTAAAAGCTTTTAAATAAGTAGCATCATAAAAATAACTTAAAATAGGAATAGTTAAAAGTAATATTATATAAAAAAAAAAATTATAATGTTATATTTAAAAACAAAAACAATGTTCGTAGTTTTAAATAATTACAATTAAAGAAATTAATAATATTATCAAATAAATTTTAAAAAAATTAAATTGTCGAAACAAAATTAAAATAATTAAGATTTTTCAAATACATTATTTTAAATAATTTACAACAATAATAGTTAAAAGTAAGACTATATACAAATATTATATTGTTACCTTTAAAAACAAAAACAATGTTTGATGTTTTAAATAATTATATTTAAATCTTGAGCAAATAAACTTTTTAAAATTAATTATCATAACAACAACTATAAATATCATTAAACAATATATTATCTTTAATTTTAGTCATGATTAACCCGCATGTAGAGGTTATTGATACAATTGGGATTATAGAATTTTAAAAGATGTCTACATTATCATATCATTCAAAACAAAAAATGTCTATACCAACTTATTATAAGATTTATTATATAAGAGTTAACAACAACGTCATTGATATATTTAAAAAACATATATTTGTAAAGATTTCAAATATACTGTTGTATTATGTACAACGCGCGAGTATTCGCCTAATCTATTATAATAAATATCAAAATACTTGAACCTCATTCATTTGAAATTTTCATTGCAACTTAAAAGTTTTTCTAATTTATATGTACTTATCATTTCAAATTTAAAGTAATTAATCATTACAACTTAACTTAAGAATTTTTTAATTTATTTGTATTAATTGGTAATGACTTTTTATTTTTCTTTAATTTGTACACATATTAGCTATATGAGTTGTATATAAGTAAGTTTTGTTTACAAAAAATTTTATGTTTGAAGAATTTTTTTATTTAAATATAAAGAATTGCAAAAACGAGTTTTTCTGCATCAGTGGTTATTGCAACACATATTTTCCTTGAGATAATAGTGCTTCTATGCAATGTTTTAAAACCCAGTTTGACCCGGTCGGTTCAACCGGTTGGACCGTGATCCGGGGTAGAAGGTGGGTCAATTGAGAACGGTTTTTGTAAAAATATAGACCGGATCGAACCGGCTGGATTTCCCCTAAACCGCGATTCGACCGTTTATGTTGAACCGGATTGACTCGTTTTATTAGGACTTTGGATACAAGTAGTGAACGCCAAAACAACGAGTTGTTTGTGGTTTCTTCAATGTTTTTCAATATTAAGACTTTGTGGACATAAAATTTTTGGTTTTATATGTTTATACATTATGCAGGAAAGTGAAATTTTATAAAAATAGAAAGACTATAAACCGGGTTGACCCGGTGGTTCAACCGGTTTACCCGTGAACCGGTCATCACACCGGATCAATTAAAAACCCGAGTTTTTAAAACATTGCTTCTATGTATCAAAAATGTATGTTGATTTTATATCCTCTTTAAATGATCTGTAAGTGTTTAATATATTATTTGATATAAATATTATAGTAGATATTGTAGCGTTTTTATGTTATTAAAAGTTGTGTTGTCTACATACCATTTATTATACGTTATATATATAGAAATCACATACATTTAATATATAATCAACACAACTTAAAACAATCAATAAATCATCATAAGTTGTATATATTTTATAATATTATTTCTTATTCATTATATATATAAATCAACATAAGTTTTATATACAATTTACACAACAGTCTCTAAAATTATCAATTATTGGTCAACATAACCAATTATGTAAAACTATTATGCTTAATAAACATATAGGTTAACTATAGGCTTGCCTTGCTACTAATATTGGTTTACGTATAAATATTCAATCATAATTTGTTAAAAGTTATTATCTTATTCATATAATTCACCGTAAAACAAGGGGATCCACCTAATATTATTCTAAAAGAAGGGGATATTTTATGTGATGTAACCTACAATTCATTGTACGGTTATTATTCAAGTATTATGACTAGTACATACCAATGATCTTTCCCATGGTTATGTAACTACCGACTATAATATATGCTAAACTTTGACATGGTGCAGTTCATTATATACATCAAGCTTCCTAGAATTCAAGTATATTGCAATTGAACTACACTATCACCTAGATTGTTCTTAAGATGACTAGAATGATCAATAGGGGAAACAACCAACTTGTTATCATAATGTCCAAATATTTTCGTAGTGCCTTTAACATATTGAGGTTTAATTAAGAGTGCCTTTCAAACCTTCTATAAACACTTAAATCAATAATTACATCGGTTACTACCATGTCCTTCATCTCAAAGCATGCATGTAAAGTGATTTGACTAATTTAAACACCATATTTGGTCCTTGTTTTAGTTCATAAAGTGATTTGACTAATTTATACACCTTATTATTGGGTTGTCAAACAAAATAAAATTGAAATTATCAAGTATACTAGTGCAATCAAACTAAAAGAAATTGCGAATTAATCTCGAGTTAATGTCAAGTTTGTTACACACAAAACAAGACATGTCAGAAGAAATTGTACTGCGTTTATCCCACATCAAATATTTGTACAAGTCTACCTGTATCATAACATGACACGACATGAACAGATTGTACTGTGTTTAACATCCATTGGAATCTTTGTACAAGTCTAACTAAAACAACATTCTCTAGTAAGTTCAATCGATAATATTTGCACTAACTATGATTTAAGTCAAATAGAAGATATACCAAAATTATCAATTGTTTTTTCACTACATTCAAGAAAGGTAAATCGTTTCTTCAGATTCCCGACATTTTCTTAACGCAGACCTAATTTCCCTCAGCAATTCACTGATATTCATACCTTTCCTGCAAGTTAATCGCTTCCCATTAAATCCTTCTACTTTCAACTTTTTTTTTTTCTTATTAACACATCATACTCTAAAAAATCAACCCAATTATAGCTATAATGGAGTAGATTTATCAAACTACATTGCTTTTATTTAATAGCCAAAAAAATGAACTTACAGAACACTGACACCTACAACAGCAACAGGTTGTGGATATTCCTCAATTTCTTTTACTTTTTTATCCTCATTAGAAATAACATCCTTTTCATCAGATAAAGGTAAATCTTCACTTCCAATTTTCTGTATTTCTTCAACCAAAACAGGAAGCCTCTCCATTGCCTATATACCCAATACCTCATTATTTACAAATTATAATAATAATAATATAAGATTAGAAGCAAAATAGCAAATCTCATAATACAATTAATACCTCAGGTATATCAATCTTATTCAAAACCACAATATATGGCCTTTCAAGATATTCAGGATTGTACATCCTTAACTCCTACAAAATTAATATTAAAAAATAAATAAATGAGAGAGAGAGAGAGAGAGAGAG